CCCCCCAAAAAAAAAGAAAACAAAAAACAAAAAACGCTGCTATAAGAAACAGTGCAGTGCATGTGATAGCAATGTGTACCACCAGAAAGGGAGCCTGGCCAGGCAGAGCTACACTCTGGCTGCCAGCCAGGATCTAAGGCTGCTGGGCTGGCCCCAGCCTTCCCTACCCCACCCGGGGCAATTTGCCACACACCAGAGCACGTTATTTGTCCTATGGCTTGCCCCTGCACAATGGCACAAAAATGTGCCACTGCTATTTGCCCCACAGGGAACACACACCCCTCCACGTGCACCATAAGAATCATGGTAAGGTTCTATTTTTTGTGTCAGTTTTTAATTTAACAATGGTTTATTCACTATATTATTAATGAACACTTTCTTTAAAAAAATGTTGCTTGCTACTAGGATAGTTAAAAGGGATATCATATAGATTCAATTACATTTTAAATTGCAAATGCACAGGAGTGTTAGCACATGCTGTAGGATGGACAGCATTGAGAACATGCTACTAATGTTTGGATTTAGTCAATATACATGTCGCACGCAGCTGAGAATCTATGTTGGGTTTTACTATGTGGTTGTGTAACTTTTCCCTGGAAAGGGAATGGACAAACAGTGCACTTGATTAAAGTTGCTACTGAGTTACCACCAGGATGGTTTTCAAGATAAATTTGATATCTTCACTCTTGTGTGAAGTTAATATTTTGTATCTGACCCAATGTGTGGATGCTCTGACATCTCAAACCTACTTATCTCTCCAGTTGGGACTTTGGCAGAATTTGCTTGTGTGAACATTAAACTTTGGTAAATGAAGTAACCATATGTGGCAATGCCTTTTAGTTTCTTCATAGGTGGGTAAAGTATTTCAAGTATACTAAGCTCAAGTAGTACTGATTAAATACTCTGAAGAGTGACGGTAAAAATGGCACAACAGGGGTCTTTGTCTTCGTTTCTTTGTAGCAAGTTTATTCAGCTGAGAATTAAAAAGATGATTTTTATCTATCTGCCAACTTACAAAAACAGCGTGGGATGTGTCTGGCTCTTGCATCATCTCCGGTAATAAAGATTCTGTAACTGGAACTCTGTTAATAACAATTCTGTTGAAAACGCACACATTTGCAAAGAATACAGCTAACTCTCACCCAGCTAAGTTACCTATTTAGGGTCAAACGAGTAAGTAGTAGTGAGGACTTCAGGTGGTCAAGTGAGGAGACCCGATACAGAGCAGATGCATGCAGTGAGACTGCTCATTTTTACTCTTGCTTTCGTTACTCCGGATGATCCTTAAGACCTTTAAAGCTATCTGTGTAGCCTTTTGGCTGTTCTTATTGTCATTCCTCATTGACCTGACTTGGAAAGGTCAGCCCCATTAGGAGTTACCCAAGTGTTCACCTTGTTAGTACTAAGGGAAAAGCAGTCTCTGCAAGTTGGGATAGAAATACCACAAAACTGGGTATCAGGAGCATGAAATTCACATGTGCCAATTCAGAATCACAGTGTTATACATTTCTGATTTATAGCTTTTTAGGCAGCTTGAGCATAGCAAACAGCCTTTGCTGGTGCCAAGTTTGCTGATGACTAATACTATTTACAGGACTGTTTTGTAATCTCAGATCAGCCCACATTAACTGGAAGTTACGGTTTCCCATCAGCGTTTTAAATTTGTGTATGTGTATGGCTGGCGTTCGTATTAAACCCTCAGACTCAGGTTCTTCAGAGTTCATTTATTTAAAAAAAATGCTTTTGTTAATTTATTTTTTTTGGAGACAAGCTTACAGAGGTCAAATTCCACTTCCTGAGAGATACTTTCAGCTAGGACCATTGGTCCTCCATGTCTGAATTAATTCACTTGAAAATAATTAAAAAGTAGGTATTGCATGCGCAACCAACAAATGCTTATGATCTGCATGTCTCTGTGCACGAAATCCGTTCCCAGTATCTGATCTAAGCAGGCTTAGTCTGTCAGTGCATAGTGCTTTTAGTGCCACCCTTGAAAGGTTTGTAGTTTAGTTGTGATTTTTTTTTTCTGTTTAGTTGTAATTACTGTTTTCATGAAGCTCTATCTATTCCCCTGCAAATCTTGGTAGTTTGGCACAAAATCTTTGGCCAGCCTTACTCATGCTGAATTTCCAAGTGACCTTGCAATCTGGAAATTGCTATTCTTATTCTTGTGCAAATGCACCGTAATAACAGATGGAAGAGGGGTTCAGGGAGAAAATTTCTTCAGATTTCCTGTTTTCTTTGTCATCTGGATAAATTTAAGCAAGTAGATGCCAGCTACAACAAACCATTTCACTACCCTCGGGGTTGTGATCTCAGGCATGGAGCATCTGCTGTGCATATTGTGAACTCTACCAGGCAGGAGATGAAATTGTGCCTGAAGAAATGTCCAGTCCCAGTCTCTGGCAGAGCACTTGATGGATTTAAAATTATTGTGACCTGTGAAGAAGATGTGTTATTTTTTTTCAATGCTAGAGCTGAATATCTTGCTTGTGCCTAGGAACCAAGAAAAGAGTTGTCATAGGTGCATTGCACTTCCGCAAGGAGTGTCTCAACTGTATAGATTGGATTGGTCTGAACATTTAAAGCTATTGCCATGCCGTTTTCCTGGGTACTGCGGGACAGACGGAGGGGGGATCCGAGGGGTGGTGTGTGCATGTATTTTACTCCACTGGATCTCTGTAGCCTGCCCTCCTTTTCCACTTTTGCAGAATTGATAGATTCTGTTGAAATCAAAAAGCCAAAGCAGTCGTGGGAGAAAGTGACCCACATGACATCTAATCAGTGATGTGTAGTTTTCCTGAGCTCCTCCAAGGATGATCCAAGCATGATATCCCAACTGTGACCCTACAGCCCTTCTTGGCACCGTGTCCACAGTTTCCATGTGCAAGGTTTGGTGCTTGAGCTGGTCTGAAAATTTCCAACTGTGCTTTTCTGCTATCCAACACCAGTGTGAAGCAATGGCTAGATTCTGTGAGAATGGGTTTTTGATTTTTGTCAAAACTGACAAACTAGGCAGGTTGCCTAGGGAAACCTGCTTGTGATGGTGCCAGCTTGCCTCTATGGCAGCCTGCCTGGCAAACAGCTTCATCGCTGAGAGCCTGGAGGCCCCAGCTCTCAAGGAGCCCAGGTTTCCCTGCTCTGTGACAAAAATTTCAAAGACTGTTCCTAGTTGGAAACTTTTTTTAAATATCAGAATTTTTGCAGTGACCAAGACTTCAGGATATGGCCAGTCCTGCTTTGTCAGTTTTTATGGACTTCTGCTATTGGAAGAATCGAGAGGATAGAGGCAGGAGAAGACCCTTTGTCAAGGGAAAATAGTGAAAGTATTAGGCCCACGAAGGAAGATGTCCTTTGATTCATACTAGGTGGGTAGAAGAAGTGTCGCCAGCCTGATACAACAACGTTATAGGCAGGTATGGCCATTCTAGCAGAAACTTTTCTCCAGTTCTACAAAATCATCCAAGTGAGCAGTCAAAAGACTGTCAGATTAAATTCCAGCTTCAAAATCTCTCCCCTTTAGCAGATGAGAATAATTATCTTTTTAAACAACAAAAACAGGAGGATTATTGCAGTTGTAATGTAATGGGTATGTGCTATGCCAAATATTAGGAGTAGTAACTTTTTTTCCTGTTTTTCCCTCAGGTTCAAGAGCATGTGTAATATCCTTCAAAGACTTGACAAGAGTCTGTCTTCAGACATCATGACTTTGCTGGAATCTAGACCTCAGAATACGTGCAAATGTTTTTTTTAAAAAAAGCATTAATCATCTGGCTTGGTGGCAGAGATGGCTAGTAAGAGGAAATCCACAACTCCCTGCATGATACCAGTAAAAAAGCTGGTGCTGCAGGAAACTGAATCAGATGTTGTGGAAGATGATCGTGGAGGAATACAACAGGACACACGTCCTGAAGCCCCGGCTGCTAGTGACACTGTTGTTAACCATAACAATAATGGAACATTGTCTAATGGGCATCGAAGTCTTGCAGAGGGTGATACTTATGTGTGTAAGTATTGTGAATTTGGCTCTCAAGATGTTAGTCATTTCTTTGGGCACATGGATTCTGAGCACTTAGACTTCAGCAAAGACCCCTTGTTGGTGTGCACAGAGTGCAGTTTTCTGGCAAAAAGCCATGAAGGGCTCTTGCAACACAATGCAGAGTGCCATGCTGGAGAAATTGGCTTTGTCTGGAATGTGGTTAAGCAGGACAATCATACTACTGTGGAGCAAAGCATCTGTGATGCCACCAGCAACCAAGACCTTCCAGGGGAAATCCCTGGGGAAGGGGTGGATAGTCAAGCTGAAATCATCATTACCAAAACACCCATTATGAAGATAATGAAAGGTAAGACTGAAGCCAAAAAGATTCACACGCTGAAGGAGAACATAAGCAATCAGTCTGCCAATGAACCAGAGATGAAAAATGGTGACCATCTGTTCACAAATGGGTCTGTGCCGGTTAGCCAGTCAGTTTCAGGCTCTGCAAAACCATCTCCCATAGTCAATGGCTCCATAATAGGCAGTGTGCCTGTCTTGCAGACAGGTGTTGCACATCTTGTACCATTGCAACAGCAGCCGCTATTACACCAACAGCTACCCACATCCAAATCCCTTCCAAAGGTAATGATTCCGCTGAGCAGCATTCCAACATACAACGCTGCCATGGACTCCAACAGCTTCCTGAAAAACTCTTTCCATAAGTTCCCATATCCCACAAAAGCTGAGCTATGCTACTTGACTGTCGTGACAAAGTATCCAGAAGAACAGCTTAAGATCTGGTTTACTGCCCAGAGGCTGAAACAAGGCATCAGCTGGTCACCGGAAGAGATAGAAGATGCACGGAAAAAAATGTTCAACACGGTTATCCAGTCTGTACCGCAGCCTACCATTACAGTTTTGAATACGCCCCTAGTTGCAAACACCAGCAGCGTCCCACATCTTATTCAGGCAACTTTGCCTGGGCATGTGGTTGGACAACCAGAAGGAACAGGAGGGCTGCTTGTTACGCAGCCAATAATGACAAAGGAGTTAAAAGGCACCAATTCCTCTCTCACTTTAACAGTGACTTCTATTCCCAAGCTCCAGCCTGTGACACAGCACAACACAGTGTGCTCAAATACTGCATCTACTGTGAAAGTGGTCAACACTGCTCAGTCTCTGCTAACTGCATGTCCTACCATATCCTCACAGGCTTTCTTGGATCCCAACATCTACAAAAATAAGAAGTCCCATGAACAGCTATCTGCACTGAAGGGCAGTTTTGGTCACAATCCATTCCCAGGCCATGCTGAAGTTGAGCGGTTGACAAAAATTACAGGCCTCTCTACAAGGGAAGTTCGAAAATGGTTTAGTGATAGGAGATACCATAACAGGAACGTGAAAGGTGGTAGAGGCATGTTTGTGGGAGATAACACAATAGACTCGCTGACTGAAATGACCTTCCCTGTATCAACAAAAGGCACAGAGTTAACCTCTATGACTGCAGCAACACCTGTGACTCATCATCACACCAGGCGGCAATCTTGGCATCAGACACCTGACTTCACACCGACAAAATACAAAGAGAGAGCACCAGAGCAGCTCAAAGCTTTGGAAGGCAGTTTTGCACAAAATCCTTTCCCTTCAGAGGAAGAAGTGGACCGTTTGAGGAGTGAAACAAAGATGACGAGGAGGGAAATTGATAGCTGGTTCTCCGAGAGGAGGAAAAAAAAGCTGGCCGAGGAAAACAAAAAGGTGGATGAAATGGCTCAGCAAGAGGAGGAAGATGTTGTTGAGAATGACTGCGGAGAAGGGGAAGACTCTTCCGATGAACTGAGGGCCTCCAGTGAGAATGGTTCAGTGGATATGCCTGGCAGCAGTCAAACTGCAGCAGAGCGGAAAGTCAGCCCTATTAAAATCAATCTGAAAAAACTTAAAGTGACAGAGTCCAATGGCAAAAATGAACTGCAGGGTTTAAGTGCAAATAGGAAAGGGGACAGCCCTTCTAGCAGGCCGCCTACCCCCCATAAAACCAAATTAAACTTAAAAAAAACAGCCCAGCAGCGGCATTTGCTTAAGCAAATGTTTGTGCAGACACAGAGGCCAACAAATCAAGAGTACGATGCCATTGTTGCTCAGACAGGCCTGCCGCGGGCGGAGGTAATCCGCTGGTTTGGAGATAGCCGATACGGCTATAAAAACGGTCAGTTGAAATGGTATGAGAACTACAGGCGCGGGATCTTTCCTCCAGGTCTAGCTGAAATCAGCCCAGACAGCAAGGAGCTCCTTGAGGACTATTACAAGAAGCATAAGATGCTGCGTGAAGATGACCTGCAGACCTTGTGTGAGAGAACTCAGTTGAATTCACAGCGGGTTAGGGTGTGGTTTGCTGTAAAGGTGGACGAGGAAACCAGGGCCGTGTCTGACACCGGCAGCGAAGACAGGTGTTCGAGCTCTGGAGATCCGGCAGGAAATCAAAAAGGGACGTCTGACGCCTGTTCTGAGGTGTCCGAGAACAGCGAATCCTGGGAGCCCGGGGGCCAGGAAGGCAGCTCGGACCCCTCAGACACGTTCAGCCAGCAGCCCACGGTCCCGCTCGGTAGGTACCCGACTGATCGTTCAGCTGCGGAGGTGTTTTGTAAGTAGGCTCGTTGCAGCATCGAGAAGCAAACATAAAAGAGCACTGAGCTATTTAGTATGCCAGCAAGCGGGGCGTCTTGGGAGGTTTTAGTACCAAGATTCCTTGTTCAGAGTGATCTGATGAGAAAGCCAATGTCTAATTAAATTAGGGGGAGGAGCAAAGCAGAGAGGCCCGGCTGCGCCTACAGCAGCGGTTCTCAATCCTTTTAGATTCCAGCCTCCCTTAGGCTTAAGGTCCCCCTCAGAAAACCCCAGCTCTCAGCTTTCACCTGTTTTTTGACTACGGAAGAACAATAGGGCAGCTCTGTAGTGAAAGACCGTAACAAGGCAGAATGGTTTTGACATCATTTGGTATCTCTAGGTTTATCTTGCGGCTTGCGTAGCTCTGTGTGCCCTAACAGTGCAGCTAATATTGTGCAGTACCTTACAGCACACTTACAAGGATCTCACTGGCTTGATGTGTGACCTTCAAAAAGTCTCTTAGTTTCCCCAGCTGTAAAATAAAACACTCTCCCCCCC